TTAAAAAAATTTGTACCTTTTTAAGTAAAAAAACCTTGATAATCTTTTTGTTTTTTTTTTTTTTTTTTTTTTTTTGGAATGCCCCAACATCAGTATAAATCTAAATTGTTCAATATACTTCAACATGTTGGCTCTGTTAATCCTGCCCAGGGAAACCGCGATCGGAAACGTTGTTTTTTTACAATAACACATTTCATCTTTACAAGGGTTGCTGCTGCTCTTTTTATATAGCTAGTCAAGTACCAGGGAGCAAGACCACCTCATGGAAAGCACTTGTGTTTAAGCTGCATTTAAAATCAGCTTGTTTAAACGTGAACACTTTCATTTATGCACTGAGACACCGCTGAGTTGCGCTGCAAGGTTCATAACCTCACGGTGAAGAGGGGGATGGGTGGGACACACACAAAAAAGAAGAAACATCCCAGGCAGATTGAGTTGATATTGCATGCACTTCTATATATAAGCAGAAAGCTAGAGATAGTTAGCTAAGCATAAAAATAATTTGCAGTGGCAGAGGACAGGCAGAAACCTGGCTATGAACGCGTTCTCCCCTGAGCAGTGTGTTGGAAACAGGCGGAGAGAAACTTCTAACCTACCTCTGCATTTCACTTTTAGACTCTGTAAATGTGTGCCAGAGCATTTCAAGCCTGTCTGTATCTATAAACCTGCAATTCTGTGTTGCTGGTCTGTTGATTCTAAGGAGCATCAACCAAGGAGATGAATTATACTAATACCAATGTGTGGGATACTGTTGGCTAGATTAGTGCTTATTTAGGAAAAGTACATCTGTATTACTCCCACTTTTTATTTCTTTACCTATTCAAATAAAGATGGAACAGTAACTTTTCATTGCTGAGTGGTTTGTTGAGAAGTTTCTGGTGCATCGCTGTCTAAAAAAAAAAAAATGAGAGTCAGCATTTTTCTCCCCCCCAAATGTTCAACCTCAGAGCGAGGAAAGAGCCCATGCGGGCTTCACCTTTCCGCTCGACTGCTAAAGTTACTGTTTTTAAGCACACATCCATATGGATGCCCAGCTCATTGTCAAATTGTATCTTTCGACCCTGAGTGTTTGCAGAGGCCACCCTGGAGCTGCTGTCGTCTGACTGACAAGCTGGATGCAAAGCTGCTTCCTACGAAAAAAAAAAAAAAAAAAGAAGGAAGCTTAAAATAAAAGCTTTGTGCAGAAAGGAGGCTGTATCCCTCCTGCACATGCTGCATTTTAACTCGTGCTTGCCAGTATTTGGTTAGTGATTGTTGGATTTAATCGTCTAAGTAAACATCGACTTGATTTGGGTCTGTTTTAAGTTTTAATTGTATGTTTTTACAAGTCCTGCCGTCTACAGTACGCAAGGTACCGCCTGCCAGTCGGTGACACAGGATTTTAATCAAATCCTTAAAAACGACGTCTGAAAGTACACATGGCTGATTTCAGCTAAACTCCGTCTCTGTTTATCATTAAAAAGACATGGAGACCACATTGCTCTGGCCTTTACAGATAATGCGCTACAGCGCCTTACTGGAGGATTCCAACCTTTTCAACTTGTTTTTTTTTTTTTTTTTTGCATTTTATGACCACAAACCTTGAAGTTTGTTTTATTACGATTTTATGTGATAGAACAACATGGAACGGTGCGTAATTATGAAGTGTAAATGATAAATGTTTTTTTTTCTCTCTTTTCCCCCCCCCTTTTTGACAAATAAAAGTTAAAGGGAATGTGTAGCAGTTATCAACCAGCTTTGTCCAACTAGATAATTCAATTTTGACTCGTTCTTCTTTTGCAAAATGGCTCAGTTTAAGTCGGACTGGAAAAAAGACTTCCTGGATGTAATATTTCAAGTCTTGCCAGAGATTCCTAATTAGATTTAAGTCTGGACTTTGACCGGGCCATTCTAACCAATGATTACGGTTTGATCTAAACCATCCCATTGTATTCCGGCTGTAAGATCAGGGTTGCTGTCCTGAGCTGGAAGGCGAACCAGTTTTGCAGTTCTGAACTTTACTCCATTCCTCTTCCCATTAACTCTGACCAGCATCCCTGTCCCTGCTGAAAAGAAGCATTTCTACATTATGAGTTTGCCACCACAATGTTTTACGGTGCAGATGGTGTGCTCAGATTAATATGCGACTAATCTGCTTCACATAGCGTTTTGCAAATAAGCCGAAAAGTTTAATTTGGATCTCATCTGGCCAGAGTACATTTTCCCACATGTTTACTGGGTCTCCTACGTGGATGTGAGTGACGCAGCAATCAACAGCCAGGGATTCTTATCGTTTGTGTTCAACAACAGTTTCTTTTCACTCCTCTATCAGGGCCATGTTCATGGAGTTCACATCTAATGGTTGTTCTTTAGACTCGTCAACATGAGTCAGATTTCTGCAGAACTATGGTGGTCCGCTTCACTACTTCCCTGATTAATTCTCCCGATGGCTATCAGTGTAGGTGGACAGTCTTGTCTTAATACGCCGTGCTCTTTACTTCTTCTTCTGATGTTTTAATCAGAGTTTATGGGATGTTCTAAGAGCTTGAAATATCGTTTTAAAGCTCCACCCTGCTTCGGGCTTATTATCCACAACTTTATTCCTGGCCCGCATACCGTGTTCTCTGGTCTTCATGATGCTGTTTGTTCTTTAATGTTCGTTAACAAACATCTGACGCCTTCGTAGAGCAGCTGCATTTGCACAGATTAAATTACACACAGCTGGACCCTGTTTGTACTGATTAGATGGTTTCTGATCGCAATTATTTGGCGTTAGGTTTTATAAACGGCTGTCAGAATTAAAGGGTTCCGAATGTAAATGCCCACTTTTCTTTTTAGTTCTTTTCTGTCTATAAAACGCTTTGAAAAGACCAGTCATCACTTTTGGATTAATGAAATTCGTTGGCTTGTGTGGATGCAACATGACAATTTGAAAAGTTTCATATCATAACTTTGGCATAAGATTAAATTTCTCACATTTTGCTACATTTCAAGGCTTCTACTTTAGGATCTTTTTGGAATAATGAAAATGAAACTTGTAGTGAGCGCTGTTTGCTTTCTAATTTGGTAAAAAAAAATAACTTAAACTGTTCTTTTCTGTCTCCTTTTAGGGTCCTCCAGGTCCACAGGGAGAAAAGGTGAGTGATAACACATGCTTCTGTCATGTTTACTATTTATTTTACATAGGATGCAGTTTGATGATTTTAAGAATCCATTTATTTACTCATAACAGAGTGATTTGTCAATGCCTGTCCTGTTGCTGAAAACCTGTGACTGCCTCTAAATAGAAACTATCAGTGTTGGTGCTTTAAGATCGATACCCTGATTTTGTCTGAGACTCTTATTTTGAAGTATTAAAGAAAGTCGTTAAGTTGTTATCCTCTCGTTTTTAAGTGGTTTCTTAATGAAGACTGTGTGAGGTTCGCTTATAAAACTCAGTTAGATTAGCAATGCTGACGTTACTATTTTTAAGTTGCTCATCTGACAGAAGTAAATCATTGACGGACTAAAAAAAAAAATAATGATCTGTAAACCTTGAAAATGCCTCCAGCGGCTAACCGTTAGCAACAAGTAGTGCAAAAGTTGGCATCTGCTTCCTATCAGACCTGAACCATTTTGCTGCTTTTCAATCAGTCTGAACAGTATTTCAGAAAATCTGGTAAAAAANAAATNAAAAAATCAAAATGTTTTGACCTAGAACATTCAAGCTGGGTATTTTTTGAATGAATTCTTTTGAGGTTTATAAAACATTTTATTCCACCCAAAAAAACCCCCTGAGAAATGGGTCCCTACTGCTGCGACATGAGGACCACCTTAGATTTAAGGCGGATTAAAGAGTTTCTTAATGGCCATATAACAGAACCGTTTAATAAAAAAAATATCTACAAGCTCCTTGTAGATGCAAGTTCATGTACATTCACGCTTAATCTTTTTGTTTTTCCTTAGACTCAAGAGTCTGAACGCAGCAGTCAAAGCATGGGCTATTATATTTTTTTAAGATCTTTTCATTGCCAATCAAACCAACAAAGCTGTATGTGTTATCTCTCCAAAACAAAGTTTTATTAAATAGACATAGTTTTTCATGATACTTTTTCTGTTTAAGCGGCATAAACTTGATTTAAAAGCTTGATTTCTTTTCAATGTGGAAAGTGACCTGACCTGAAGTAGCCGTAGCAAACATGTGTAAGGACCTCCAGTATTTAGAGGCTGCAGTTCATTTGGCCACAGAGAGTGTAATTTGGTATCTGCTCCCACTTCATGTGAATTTAAGTCAACCTGACCTTAGGTTTCAATTCTAACATTCCTTTCTCAGGCTCACACATCCACAGCGCAGAGTGTTAAAAGCCACAGTCCCATGCAGGCTGAAACCCTAAAATGCCTCACTGTGCAATGCTCCATAAAACAACAATGAAGCGTGCAAAATAACCACACAGCTTCTTCACAACTCTGAAGTTCTGCGGACAAAGAGCATGCCTGTGGAGTAACATCAACATTGATCAAATCCCTGAATTTATTCATCATATCCACTGGGTTTGTGTTTGAATGTAAAGTGAAAACACTCTCGAAGGCATCGGTATCAAAACGTAGCAGTGTTGAAACTTAGAATTAAAGCTTTTAAAAGTAATTTAGTGAGCATTTTGTAGCTATAGTTTCTTATAAAACGATTCATATGCTCTGAACTTTTCCACATTTCCTGTTGCTACAAACTTCAGTGTGTTTTTTTGGGGGGAGGCTAAGGAATAAAGAGAAACGCGGAGACCAAGAAACACAGCAGACAGGGCAAAGGGTAAAGTTGTGGTAAAGTTTTCCAAAAGTCAGGTCTTCCATCTGTAGATATACAAAGAGATATACCCTCAAAATACTTGTAGTGAAACTAAAGTCACATTTTTCAGATTTCGATTTGTACAAACACTTTCTCCGTTCCCTTCCTTCTCCCAATTACGCATTGCTTTATACTGGTACATCAAATCCTTATACAATACATTGAAGTTTGTCACATAAAATGTGCATAAGTCCAGGGGGCATTGACACTTTTGCGAGAACCGTGCTTTATTGAAATAGTCACTCCGATTCTGTGTCCGTTTATTGACGATAAACGTAAACACCGTTTCCGATTGTGTGAAACAACAGGAAATGGCGCGCATAAAGTCAAACGCACTGAGAGCAATAGCAGCCGTCAATCTCAGCCAATCTGCAGTCGTTTGGAAACAGATATCTGTTGTGTGTTGTTTCCTCTGACCAGCATCATAAATCGACAACAATAATTTCTTTTCCCTTCTTTTCATTAGTACAACGTCCGGATTTTCACTACCAGACTTACGCGACTGTCGAACATTTGTTTTGCAAGCCGTGAGCTGCGGGGTCCTGTCGAATAAACCGGTGTCCGCTCTTTGCGTGTAAACCACCTCGTCTGCAAGTTTAATGAAATCCAAAACAACTTTGCGCTCCCTTTCCCACCCAGGATGAACAAAGGCTTCGCCGGCGTGGCCGTTCGCAACTGTTTTCCCGTTTAATCTGGTTCTGGCAAAACGGCTCGTTGAAAAATGACAAAAATTCCAAGAACTGTTATCATTTAAAATTACTCATCGACGCTTGTTTTGACGAAGCTTCCCGTCCATGCGTGATAAGTTGCTCGGGTTATTCCACTACTGCAGATCAAAAGTCGATCAAACGAGGCGGCTCGAATGTTCTCATTTGTCCTGATTTTAGACCCGTTAAGGTCATAATTCACCTTCCAACATTTTACTCTCCCTTTGCTTATTTCAAACAACAGCGTGCTTTTGTTTGGGGTTAACTCTAATGTGATAAAGCCACAGTCTTTGGCATGCGGACTGACTGGAAACCCAAATGTTTTAACCTTCAGAGTCGGCCTCCGTCCACAGACGTACACCCCCAGAAAAGGCAGACGGCCAGAAGATCTCTGGGGCAAATAAATCTGGCATAAATGCGGTTCCCACCCGCCCCCTCACCAAAACCTCACACCGCCACTCTCCTTCTTCTCTCCTTCTCACATACCCAATACATGTCATTCCATGTTATCATAAGTGATTTTACTTTCAACCGCAACGAATAGTTGAGGGTTCCTGTATTATTTCACGTTATCAATATGTTCTGCATTACGCCCGAGTGATCTCGGTGTGAGCCTCGGCTTATTGCTGCATCACTGTGTTTGTGCATGTGTTCCTGTATATTTTGCCCTCAGATTCTGAAACAAGTTTTCTTTTCTTCTTCTTCTTCTTCTCTTTTGTAGGGAGATCAAGGTGACCAGGGACCACGGGTATGCGGCTTCCTTTGACTTCTTTGTGATTAGTAGATGAATGTGACTGTGTGTGTGTCCTTACCCCCCCACCCCCCGTTCCTCGTCCCCCGGCAGAATTGTGGGCAAAAGGTTTGAAATGCATGAAATTCCTGGGATAGAGTTCTTCCAATGTGGCCAAATACAACAAGCATCCCAGTGCTGCTTATTTCCACATCGGCAGCGGGTAGGCGGACTTGTGAGAAACTTTTGGGAGATGATTTGCGCTAGAGTCCCCCTGCAGCAGTTGAAAAAAAATGCTCATTTTGACTTCGTCATTGGATTTAATTTGCAGTTTTGTTCCCACCGGCAGAAGAGCTTTGCTCGGTCTCGACAACAACAACAACAACCAAATACCAGTCCTTTCTTCTCGCTAAGTCGACTCGTGATTAACCTCAATTCTAGATGTGATGTGGCATATTCACCGCTTTAATCATTTCCAGCTCTATAAGTCTGACATTTCTATAAAAGTCCAGCATCTAAATGATGCTAATGTAAGTGCTTTTCCATGCTTGATGCTCTCCGAAACAAATTAGTCCATCTCCGCTTAGCAGTCAGTGCAGCTCTCCTTCCCGCCCCCCTCCCCAATAATGGCTAAAAAATGAGCCGTCCTTCTGAGAAACAGGCTGCACAGGTTTGTTTAAAGTAGACTGCATTAAGAGGGGTCACATGTGCTCATGCATGCACACACTTTCACTTCCTCTGTCTCTGCTGTTGTTCATCAAGGGCGGATTGTGTGCTAGTCGGAGTCACTTTGAACGCCTGTAATTGATTTATAATGGGGCAGAGAGCACACAGAGGTTGGCACGACACGAAACGAGAATTCGGCAGCACAGTTCGTCTTGTCAGGAGAACTCCAGCCGTCTCTCAGGCAGATCTGATCCCAATTCAGAGCTGGCGCCCGCCCAGACGTCAGTAGTTCCCTGAGGAACTCTTGTCGGCTCTCCTCCCGGGCGAGTTTCACCCGGTTTTCTTTATGATTTGAGAGTCAATGCAAATGACCTTTTCTGTGAAATTCAATTAGTGGTCTCCAAGTGACACATCTAATGTTTCTCATAAGCATCCACCCAGTTGTAGCCAACTTTTAGGACTTTAGTTGTCCCAGAGTGAATTCCCACCGCTACAATACCTGCAGCTGAAAGTGTTGCTAGAGCTGCACTGATTAAGGACGCACAGGTAGAAATAGTTTTAATTAAACATATTATTTTTACTCTTTTATTTTGGATCATTTTTGACAAGCATTTAAGGGTATGCTAGTCATTTCGAGCCATCGATATTGCGTAACTTTGCAGTTTTGGTTGATTGACAGGTCGCCTGGCCATCACATGGAAACATTGGGACACACATACACATCTACAGGCAATTTATATCGACCAGTTAACCTAACAATTATTATTTTTATTTTTTTTAACTGTGGGAGGAAGCCGGAGTACCAGGAGAGAAACTATTTATGTACAGGGCTCTTTTTGCTGCAAGGAAGCAGCGCTACCAACGGTGCCACTCTTCAGCCCAATTTGTCCCAGTTTGACACATTTTAATGAATATTTACGCAATGCAAAAAACACAAAGTAGAAGATTTACAAAAAGCACGTGCATGTTTTTCATATATATTTAAATATATATTTTGGAATTTTTTTTTATATATTTTTTTTACAAGTTTTGCTCATTTAGAGATGGAAATGTGCTCTTATTCAAGTTGGATGGAGAGTATCTGTGAGAACATTTTTCAAGTCAAACTTGTAGTTTACGTTTTGACTGCATATAAATTATCAAAACTATTTCATTGTAGTTCTCACTTTTTGTTGTCGCCTGGTTAGGTAACATCCTAACCATCCGCCACTATTTAATCTGGTATCATTGCCCATTTTCCCAGTTAATCATGATTTATTATACGTGAAAAAGCATCATGCTTGTAGAGCTAGCAAAGTGCAATTTGTCTTCTAGAATAAATAGAGCATTTTTAAGGTACCGTTTAAGCGTCTTTCTGTTACTGCCGTGTTGCCCCTTTAATGGGCACAAATTAATGCACAGTCGCATTCGAGGCATTACAGGGCGGAAAGCCGAGCAGGTCATTCCCCAAAAATATATTATTCACTTTCTCAAAGCAGCATATTGACTTTTTTTTATATTAGATTAGTGAGTAAATGTAGTGGAACAGCGTTTGAAAGATTTTTCTTAATAAATGAAGGCATAGCTGGACAAGAGCTGGCTGACCTTCGTTCTATCTGTCCGGGTGGAAATGAACCTCATTTCATGGCTCATATTGAGCCTGTGCACGGAGTTGATTACACCCATATGAAAGAAGATGTAAACAACGGAGCATGTCAAGATAATGTCCTCTACGTGTAGCACAGATTACGCTCCTGCCAGGTTGCATCTACATCAGCCGTCCCTCAGAATGCAACAAAAGACAGACTCCCGCTTTTACAGCCGAAGAGAGAGAGCGAGCTGTCCCACGGCACACTTCCTCTGCTTTCTGCCCACATGTCGGGGTCGGCCATTTGTCTGTCCAGAAAGGTCACGGGTCGTATCCAAAAACGAGAGGTTAACCAAGCAGCAAATAATGAATTGACCAGTTTTGACAAACAAACACGCGACCACCTCCGAAGGCGCACTTGTGGATGTAATTAGCCTGAGCTGCTGGCTGTGTGCATCGCACTGTTAGGTGTGTGGTCCTTTTTGATTGTTCGCAGTAACTGCAGCTGTCACGCAAAGGTTGGAGAACTCGTGGATTACTTTGGACAAATCTTTCAACAGCTTACTTTCAAAAGAATTTAACTTTCTTGTCCAGGAATAGTAAAAGCAGTTCACCAGGCTTTGTGAAATACTTGAAAAGAAAGATCCTAACCTTGTAGAAAAGTATTGAACATATTCATTTTTATCCCAGGAAATGTATTTATAATGACATGTCATTTATACCGTGTCTTGGTGACAACCCAAAAAATCCATAATTACAAAGAAATTAAAACAAATCCATGAATGAAAGTCTTTGTAATAAAGACAAATGAGATTCAGAAAGATTGGAAATAATCTGCTGCATTTTTTTTTTACAAATAAAATAGTAAGCTGTAGCAGTCTCTAAGCACAGACACTACACAAGACTCCACTGCTGAAGAAAACTCATGTTGAAGCCTATTTAATCATTGATTCCACCCACCATTTTTAGTAAGAAATTGCATGGTAGATGATCCCAGCTGAAAAGTTAGTGGAGTGTTTCATTATATGGTACAGATAGAAACTTACTGAGATGTCCTTGATAAGAAACGGAGGCCAAGACTATTTCAGATATTTCTACAATAAAAAATAATAACCTATTAACTGGTTTCAGAGAAAGAAAATAAAGCAGCTAGAATCATCTGACTAGTATTCAGTTGAAAATATTTTGGAAAAACTGAAGATTAGATGACATTGAATAAACCAGAAGCACACCTGAGCAAAACATCAGACTGGTTTCAGTATACAGATTATACTTTAAGCTTGCTGAATTCTTACTCCCTTGTCATTTCACTTCTTTATACAATACTGATTTCAGAATTTATTTTTTATTTTTTATTTTTTGGTTGTATGGATTACTTGGTTTGTTATGAATATCTTAGATGTAATTGCTGAATAATAACTTGATGTATTTAAGATTTATTTTGTCCCCTGTAATTTCCAGGAATTAAAATATGTTTTAAACAGTACGCCCATGAGTCTTTAAACCATTTAAGCACAGTATTGCAAAGCCAATCCATAAGTAAATATTCGGAAAATGCAACTGCCTGGTATTGCTAGGGGTTTTTTTGGTGAGCATGACTACTTTCAGGAGATTCTGGCCTGGTCTGGCCTCATATCTTCGTTTTTGTTTACTACAGATCAATTCCCTTTTGCCACAGGCACATATGCAGCAACAGAGTTCCCCACCTAATAACTAACATCCGTTTTGGGAGTAAAGCAAACAAAAGCAGTCTGTAAACGGTTAGGATTTTCTGTCAGCCACTATGTTATCATTCTTACACATGGACATCAGCATTGAAACAGTATGGAGACGGAGCTGTATGTGTATATATATATATATATATATATATATATATATATATATATATACATACATATATATATATATATATATATTTTTTTTTTTTTTTTCCACATTTCAAACACACACCGGTCAGCGAGGTAGTCAACATCGTGTTGACCCGGCCGCATCTTTCCACCGAAATTTTCCGCGTGCATATGGCTCGGAGTGATTGGAAAAGCACAATGTGTATCGTCTTGCATATGCCCCACACTGGATCTCATGCCTGGAGTAAGTGTATTGTCTGTTCCCCCCTGACCATAATCCACTGCTTGTTTTTCCCCTCCTTTGTCTTCAAAATGTTTGAGGTCGTAAATAACTTGAGAAATACTTGTGTTTCGATTCCAGTCGCACACAGCAAGGCTATTGTATCCCCTACTCATTTATGCCGCAGGCATGAATCAAAACAGCTTGCCTTGAAAGCCATATTCCTAATGAGCCATGCTTTTTGAATTATCTTTGGAAAACCAGAGGGATGGCACAAAAGCCATGTTTGGATAAGCCAGATTTTTATCTCGAGCTTGACTACAGATGAAGATTGATCCTTCACAGGACATGTTTATGATTATCTGCCAGTCCTTTAAGAAATACTTTCATGTGTTTAGTTATGGTGGGTATTTGTGGCGAGGCACAACCTGCAGCACAAAGATCACCAACAGAATATGCAATCATTGCAGAACCAGCATGGCGCACGCTTTGCCGTGCAACTGGAACTTGGCTGAAAGTTCGCTTCGACTTTTGTTGTTCAAATTCAATCAATCATTATTCCGCAGAATAGGCCGTTGTGTTTTTAAAAAAACAATACAGTGCAAATGTTTTGGGTCATCCCTCATTTTTTTTTTTTTTTTTTTTTAAGTTTCATAGAGCCAGACATTCATGTAATGTAAATGGACTTGAGCAGTATGGTTTTTTTTTTGTTTTAAAA